AGGATAGTAAAAAAAAAAAAAATATTAAATATTTTTTATCAATTTAAAACAGGTAATTATTAAAGTCTGAAGAGTGATAGTTAAATTTGAATTTAAATATTGATATAGTTAATATTATAACTATAACCTTTTTTAATTACAGTTAGCTCTTTATAAGTGTACTCATCAGAAGAAAGACTGTATATAATAAAAAATTTTTGTCATCTTTAATATTACCTAATAAAGACTATACCTATTCAGAAATTGCAGAATTAGGTGGAATTGACAAAAGATGACATGCAAATTCACTTAAATTTGAGGTTGTATTTAGCATAGTATACCAATATCTTAGTAGAAATTTAGTAAAACTTGGATTTTTAATAGATGATGCAGAAAATAGACTCTCTTAATTCGAATAATTCAACTATTCATCAATAAATTAGTCTTAATTACGATCTGAGTAAAAAGTATAAAAAAAACTATATGCAGCTTCTTGAATATATAAAAGCTATATTGGATTTAATCCTTTACTATGATAGTATAGATAAAGAAACCAAGTAATTAAAAAAATTAGATTATAGATTTTTTGCTAACAATTATCAATTTTGATTATTAAAGAATCTTTAAAATTATTATTAATAAATAAACTCTTATTAATAATTCTACGAAGCTATGCCTATGATGCAGCTACTTAATCTAATATTGCTTTTTCTATTTCAAGAATTTTTATAATAAAATCATATGGTTTTAATAACTTGTAAAATATTTTCAAAATTAATTATCATTAATAATATCAGTTATAATATTACTTCCTTATGAACATAATATTAAATAGGATATATATATAAGTACGATAATCTAAAAAATAAATAAAGATTAGATATATATATTAATATTATATATATTAATTATATTATTGATATATGGTATCAGTATATATATATACTTTTAAATTTGTTTTAATTTCTAAAATAGTTTTAGCTAATTTTGTAAATATTGTTCAACAGGTAATGTATAGATATTGAGGTTTTAATCTTGTATTGCTAGCTAATTCTCTTAATTTAAACAATACAAGATTAGAATTTTGAAAATGATTAATGATAACTAGTATTTTTTTTATAACTGGTATAAAAAATACTGTTTCAACTATTTTTTTAACTAATAAATTGGTTTAATATATCATATATAGAATTGTTAAAACTTTACTATCTATATCATAATTCTAAATATAATACTAATATTAATATATATAATATAAAAATTTATACTATATAATTAAAATATTTACTTCTCATATAAGTTGTTGTGCTTATTTTAATTTCTTTATATATAGCAAATATATTATCACTCATATGATACTAATTAAAGTAATTATCTATTTTTAAAATTTGACTTTTATGCTTTTTATTTGTTATGATAAAATTTAACATGCTATCTTTTAAAACATTGATTCACTTATTACCAGATAGTGTTAAAAATATAGAATCTGATATAAAATATTAAATACTACATTAAACATTTTCATGTATCTTGTCTAAAATATCTGTACTTAGCTATTTATATGATAGAAGTTTATATTCAAGTTGTAAAATATAAAATAATTTGATTACTTCAGAATCTTTTACAAATAATAGTAGTACATTTGCTGAAATTAATGCTTTAAGTAATTGATAATTAAAAGATACCTTTTCCTCAATAGACAAAACTAAAGTATTTTTAATTGTTAGTATAGTATTTGTATTCATATTAATATTATGATTATTAACTTGAGGTAATAAATTGTTTTTTTGCAAGTTTGTAATTTTTTTAGTATTAGCTTTTTTTAAAATATTTTCAATCTTATCACACTTATTTTGATGAATTTCTTCATATATTACTAATATATGTTTAATCATTTTTAAAAGTTTGCTAAGATAGTTTTGTTTGCAAAAATTATATTGTACTAAATATAAACTGTTTAGCTTTTTACCTTCATTAAACTATTATCAAATTAGGTTTTTTTTCTTCTAAATTTACATTGAAATGATGTTTGAATACAAGAAATTTTTAAACCTAATATTATATTTACTACCGTTTTATTATTTTTTTGTTAATAATTAAAACAAAAACTATTAAAATATTAAGAAATAGACTTTTAATATATTAGGCTAGTATTTGATTAATTTTTCTAGAACTTTGTTTTTTAGGATTGTTTGTTAGGATAGTTTGCTGAGGTTTTAACTCAAATAATTACATATATATATAGTTATTGAAATATTTGCATATCTATTTTTAGCAATTACTAAAATTACTAATTATTATTAATTATTATTAACTAATTACTAATTGTTTTATTATTAACTAATAACTCGATAGTCTTATTGCTAGATATAACTAGTTCTAATATATTAACAATATAGCAATACAAAGTTAAACAACCTATTCTATCATTAAACATTTTTAGAGTATTAAGTTTAAACTATATGTATGTCTTGAATTAGCCTATATAGCTAATTTAAGACATGCATAAAGTCTAGACTTAGTACTCCAAAAATTTTTGATAGTAAGTTAAATTATTTGATATTGTATTATTTACTAAACAACAATAAGTTTTTAATCTAAATAATAATTATTAGATAGCTAAATTCAAAGTTCACATAACTGTTAATTGTTTTTAATATAAATAAAGTAATATTATTATATATAATTATCATGTTTTAGGGTGTTCTTAAGCTCCTAAGTCAATCTGTCGGAATGGGTCTGAGGGCAAATTTTAATTAATAAAAAAATAGTTTAACGAATCGATTGTACTGATTGTTCCAATGAATAAATCACGTGATAAAAGTTTAATACGTCAAAGAGAAAATTTTCATTAGTAGAAGATCGTTTAACTGATCAAGGGTATTTATCATTCCAATCAACAAAAGATGGAGGCCCAGACGTCCTTTTTTTTTCACAGAGTTGCTCTTATTGGCCGAAATTTTTCATTGATTTATTAGAAAAAACAATTGTTCAAGTATTTCCCTCTTTACATTATCTATTATGGATCTTTAAGATCATTATCAACGTAAACGAATTATCGCTTTATTGCTTATACTAAAAATAGTCGCAAATCAAACAAGGCAGGAAAATGAAACAACAAGAATAGCTAATCTTTACCGTCTTCTGTCCTTTACTTCTATAACAATAAATACAACTATTCCATTTGTCTTTTTCTTACCTGATGTAAGAGCTCAACGTCAGCAAAGACCTAAAACTGATGGCTTTTGGGTTGATGTGTTTCCATATTTAAATGATGAAGGAGGATATAATTCCTTTCGAAGGTATTTCCGTATTACTTTAGCAACATTTAATTCTCTTGTATCACGTTTGAAAATTCATCCAGCTTTTTCATCTGATGCTTCTAATGCAATACCTGTTTGGAAACAGATTGCTATTGTATTATGGTGATTAGCCAATAGTGCAGGAGTGCGAGTATTAGAACAAACGCTTGATACAAGTCAGGGATCAGTGTGTCATTTTATAGACAGATTTCTTGAAGCATTATTAAATTTGGAAAGAGATCGTATAAAATGGCCACAAGGTACACAATTAGCAACAGTAATACATGGATTTGAGTATGGCGAAACAGGTTTAGAAAATCAAAAATTGCCTAATGTTATTGGAGCCATGGATGGGACATATATTCCGATTTATCGACCTTCTAAAAATGGAATCCGTTTTATTAACTGTAAAAATTTTTACTCTATTAATCTTCTTGGTGTTGTTGATCATTAGGGACATTTTACTTTTATACACGTTGGGGAGGCAGGTTAGTTAATAATTTATTCTTTGCACATATATGGTTAGACTATATTAATATTTTTTGTTTCTTTTTTTTTTTTGTGAAGGGAGTGTACACGATGCTTGAGTATTTTATCGATCCTCCCTTTATCATAAGATTTCTTTACATCCGGAACAGTGGGTTCCAGGTGGCACTTATATTATCACTGATACAGCTTATCCTATTAGTACATATTTAATGAAAGCTTTTTCTGATTATGAAACTCTAACTCATAGAGAGCGTCATTTTAATAAAGTTCTTTCATTAATAAGAATGATTATTGAACAGGCATTTGGGATATTAAAAGGATGTTGGAGAATTTTATCAAAAGAAATTTATTGTACAGATCTGGAGCGAATTATTAAAATTATTCATGCATGTTGTATTTTGCATAACTTATGTATAGATCGAGAGGATATACTATCTCTAGAAGAAATTGAGATAGAAGAAAGTCAAGACAACAATAATAATAATGAATTGGAAGAAAGTTTTATATTAAATGAAAGACGAGAAAGAAATGCAGGGATTTAGAAAAAGGATTATCTTGCAAATATTCTTATGAATATTTAATTAAATATTCTTATGATCATACTGGGAAAGATAGTTACATAACATTAAAATTAGGTTAAAATTAGGCAATTCACTTATAAATGCTTTAATATATATTTAGCAAATGCGATATCAATCAATATGCAATTTTTATTTAAGCACTATTACATATTTGTAGTACATATATATATTTTTATCCATTTTTAGAATTTCGTTAAAAATTGTCTAAAAATATCCATCTGTTCAGCATGTTGCTTTTGCTGAATTTCTGAAGTATAAGTATACTGATCTTTAATCGTCTCGATAATCATTTCAGTTTGCTCTTTAATAAGAATTCTAAATTCTTCAATATTGGCTTTTTCATTATTGTGTAAATGTTTTTTTTTCTTAGGTCGAATCTATAATTATAATTATACATTTTAAATTAAATTAGATAAAAAATATAAACTAACAACTTACTTCATCTTCTTCTTGATTATCTTGCTTATGCTTTATTCTATTAATAGAATTACTTGTTACTGGTGCAATGATGCTTGGATCATTTTTTAAAATTTCTTCCATGTCATTAAAGAACTCCCATTTCGTTTGAATTGCTCCTTCACCTGTATTTTTAATTGTATTCTTGATACTACGGTATTTTTGATGAAGTGATTCCCATTTTTGTTGAATAGACATTTTGGTACGACCTTTTAAAGCCACACTTGCAACTGTAGATTCTTGTAAATTTGCGATAATTTTATCCCAGATTTGCCCTTTTTGTCTTAGATCTCTAACTTGCTGCAACGCCTGTTGATTTTTTTCTACTTCTTTAATAAGAAAACGAGTTTCTGACGAAGTCCACCTGTTTGATAACTTGTTAACAGAAGAAATACTAGTAATTGTATTGGCATTATAAGAATTAGGCACATTGGTGTTTGCAGATCCAGATTCTAAAATTGGCAAGGAATTTTCTTGACTATAATTATTATTGGGCAATTGTAAAAGTAAAATCTAACTCATACAATATAATATTTTATTAATATTAAGTTAAAAGTATAAAGTATAAATACATTTTAAAAAATATTTATATGTATTACTTCATCGTATTCATTATCTAATTTATTAGTCGCTGTGGGATTCAGAAATAGTTAGGTCGAATGGTTTAGTTGTAGTAACATATGAAAGTTCGTGAGATTTGAAAAAGGAGAAATAGGAACTGAAATTACTGGAGTTGATATTTTATTTTTTAGTTGGCTTGTAGTAATGTCTGAAAAAGGAATTGAATTTGGAATTGTCATAGATGGTGTTTTATCTTTCTGTTGATTCATTGTTTTCGCTTTTTTGTTTCGATCTTGTAAAAATATGATAATCGCTAAATGGTAATAATGGTAAAGGTGTTTGTTTAAGCATCAATTTCAATTAATATTCTATTTATTGTAATACTTGAGCATCATTACGATCATAAATTAATCACAATGAGGTAGATATGTGAGCATATTTCAATCATATGATCATCCATATTATCGGTCCTCAATATCTATACTATCGGTTCTCAAAAATGGTCTAATTAATAATGCCATAGCGTTGTGCACTATTACAATCACTAGCTAGTTACATTGAGCGTGCAGCTTGAGAACACCCTTCGTTATTTTTTCTTTAAAAAAAAAAATTTTTACTTTTTTTTTTTTATAGAATGAGACTTTGTCTTAGATTTTATTAAGTTTTATAATATAAGTACAAAATTTGTATTATATTAATAAACTACTATTACCTAAGCTAGAGCTAGTTTATCTTTTAGCCTATATTTTACTAGAATAAGTTATAAACCTTATCTAGATTTGTAGTTAGATTTTTGCTATAAATGTATTAGTAATATTATATTTAGAGTAAATTTCTAACTATATATCTTTTTTATTTAAGATTATTTGTATATATATTTGTTTGCTATTAAGTTTAGTAGTAATTTGTGAAGTAGTTGTCAGTATAGTAGTATTATTGTATTGATTATAGTTAGCAGATTGTTGATACTACATAATTTAAATTTGTTAATATATTTTGTGTATAATCATATGTATTAGCTAAGCAGTATAAAATATATCTTTGTTTTTAGCAGTTAGGTTTTGAGAGAGATAAATAGTTATAACTAAAGCTAAGCAAATAGTAAGACTTTTTACTAACACGATTAGAAAAAAAAATAGTCTTAATAAGCCAAGTATTATATATAAACAATATATACTTAATACTAAAGCTAGAATATATGCTACAGAATATCTTTTTAACTAAAGATAAATATGAAAAGATTTAGTAACTATATATGATAACTGCTAAAAATAAGCTAGACTTAACAAGTATATTTCCAAACTTTGTAATTCTTATAGTAAGATTCTTAATATATATACTTTATAGAATATACTAAAAACTAAGCAAACACTAAGTTTTATAAATAAACTAAATAATGGACAATCACTGAAACACAAAAATCGGAAGAAAGAAAAACAACAACTGCTCATATACTACTCCTATTAACTAAATAACTAAC